ATATTACAAAGAAAACTATCAATCCTCAACTCAGGGCTGTGGTGATTATTATGGCCCTGGGGATGTTACAGAGAACTTCAACTGATTTTTCCCCCCTTTGCCATACTGTAGAGGAACCAGGAGAGGGCACCAGCAGCACAATGTTCTTTATTCCAAACCATGAACTTCTGTAACTGGCTAGCCTAAATCAGGGAAACACATAGGGCTTTAATGTGGGTGCTGCTCATTTCCAGAAATTAATGTTGCACGATTCAAGAGGGTGCTAGATGAAATCTTTCCTTAGGACAAGAGACTTTACCACATCAGAACATCAGAGCCACTGCAGGGCCTAGAAGCAAAGGCTGTCAGCCTGCAGTCTACCAGCTGTAACATCAAATACTTTTTCAGTCACATTCCTTTTTGTGGGAAACTGAGTCAGGTCCAATGTCCTCTATGTTGCAACTGAATTCGATATTTTATTTAAAACAGATTGCCATGTTGTATTCCTTCAGCTGTATGAATCTCAAATTAAGCATCTAATCTACTAGACAATGTCTCCCAGACTCATTCTACAGCATGCAGAGCTGCCCACCAAAGAAAAGAAAAGAATCTGCTTAGTTGAACACTTAATCTGTTTAACTGAGCCTTAGTACTGGACTGAGGGACCACGTGCCAGAAACCAGTGGAAGTTCTTGGACTAGAAAAAGCAATCAATCTGCTCTTGCAGGACACCAGTGTGCTAAACCTGCTCCTCCTTCTGAAGTCTGAGTTCCTTACTGATACATTACAAAGAAAAAATGGAAATTTTATAGTATAACAAACTTTACCAAAACTTCCATGAAAATCTCACCATCCATCTGCAAAAAATGCTTGACAGACCTGCCCTGTGCTGCAGCCAGGTCAGCAGGGGATTTAGATGAAGCATGCTCAACACCTAACATCAGTGGCATGCATTTGCAGAACTGGTCAAAGACAGCACTCCAGTGCCTGGGAGGCTTCTGTCCCCTTGATTCCTGTGAGGGGGTAACTGAGGTACCCATCCTGGTCTCAACCCCATACACCTTGTTTTGCACTGTTTCTTCAGGTTATCCTACCTGTCTACTCCTGAGACTGATTTTTCATTCCACTTCCTGCTGAAATATCAAAACATGACTTTGGCTGCCTATTATATCCAGATATGTATATTTCATCTTGTCTTTTTGACCAAGATGCTTCCTAGATATTTCCATTGAAAGTGCAAACTTCAAATCTTCAAGATGGCCTAACTGAATATTATACCTTTATTCCAATAACACTTTCAGTTTGCTACTCTTTAAAAATCATTTCTTAGAATAAGAATCCCCAAATTGGACATGATATTATAGACAGAGGTCAGATAATTTTAGTTCCTGGGTCAAATCGAGTCTAATATCTGTTCTTTGTTTTTTCTTAAATAGTTTTACTGTAACATAGCTATGTTCATTTGTCTACAATTTTTCTATGGCTGTTCTTGAACTACTCTAACAAGAACTGTACAGCTGTTACCTATGGGCCATGAAGCTTAAAATATTTACTAGTGGGCCTTGTACATAAAATGTTTGCAAACCTATTATTTATCCAGGGTTTTCATAGACAGTAATAACTCTATAACAATTCAAAGAAAATGCTGAACTCCTTGTTAAATATTATTTATCAAAAATAAGATTTTATCACCAAAACATGGAAATCATGAAATTGCAATGGAAACTCCTCTAGCTGCCCCCACAGGTCAGGGGGTAACTAATATATTTGGACAATGCTTTAGCAAAGTCCCCAGCTGAAAATCAGTAATTGATCAGTCAGACGTACTGGATTTATAAATTAAAAATTAGATACAAGTAAAATAAAATACAAACCAACTTATTCAGTGAATAATCACTATATGCTCTTCAGAGATGGAAGAAGGGTGGCCGAGCCCTAGAACACACTGGAATGTGAAACAAGCCAGGCCCAGAAAAGCAGATGTTCTCTGTTCTCACTCATATGTGGATCTCAGAGAAGTTGAGAGTGGAATGGCCGATAGCACAGGGTGGGAAGAACAGGGAGAAGAGAGGGACAGGGGTTAGTCAGCAGGTAAAATGTTATATGGTTAGGTGGGGCAGGGAGAAGACTGAATGTTCTTACAACAAAGAAATGAGAAATGCTTAAGGTAAAGGATAAGCTGATTGCCCAAATATGGTCACAACATATATTTACATGTATATAAATATAACATTGTACTTCATAAATAGAAACATGTCAATCAAAAAACAGCAAGATATGAAAATGATGCACATGAGCCATGTTTCATCTGCTTCTGGCATGGATGGTGGCTGCACTGTCCAGCGGGGTGATGACCACCTTGTAGGAATGTGCTGTGACTGTACTGGCATGATACACCAAGTTGAGATGAGAGCATCTGGCTCACAGAAGGCAGTGGAGCTACGCCTATCCCCAAAGTTAGAGATTTGGAGGGGAAGAGATTCGAAAAAATTTAAGCCAGACGTTTATTTTACAGGTTCAGAACACTTTCTTCCAGGTAAAGTTCAACAGACTCTCTCCAGAATGTTCTTCAAATCTAAGGAAATTCTCAGAAAACATACTTGACAGTGGTCAGTATTTGACAGAAGCTCCACTGGAACTCTGAGAAGGTCCAGAGCTGGGACGTTTGTAAGGGGTCGGTCACTTTATATTGATTTATAATCGCATCCCTCCGACGTTATCTCAGGCATGAAGTGCCGTTAGATTTGGCATGAGATATATCTATGAAGATGGAAGTTTATGACAAAGATAGAACAGCAGAAGAGAACCATCTCATAGATAAGTTATAGCATGGCTTTAAAAAATCACTTATCAACAAGCACAATGGGGTATTCTCAGGCTGAAATGAGGCAGATGAAAAGCTAAAAGCAGGAGAGAGAGATCTTTTAAAGGCAAATTCCACTTTTACTCTTTGCTCTACTATTCTATCCCTTTTGATCATCCTAATGGCTGTTTTCTGGTTTAGCTATGTTACAATCCCTACAATGTATCAAATATCAGAACATATCACTTCTGATACTGTCCCAGTACAAGTATATTAAGTCAAATACTTACACAGCTACTATTGAAACTACTGATTGTACCATATGCTAGTATAGCATGATCCTAGTTCTATCCACCATCTTACTGAAGATAATTTTACACTAATCAGAATCCTCTGGCTCTAACACAATTGTCTCTGGCAGTTTTATATTCTTTTATCATCCTTTACCTCTGCATTGAGAACACAAGCTTAACTTTCTCCTTTTATTTTAATTCAATTTTTTGAGAATTTCATACATGAGTATTATATTTACAACATTCCACTCCCCTCTCCTCTCTAACTCCTTCAGGACACCACATTCCCTCTCAAATTAATGATCTCCACTTTAATTATTATTACGTATGCATATACATAATACACACACACACACAATCCACTGAGTCCATTTATTGTTGCTTGTGTGTTCATATGTTTAGACAAAACCACTTGGGTTTGGATAACCTCTCAGGAAACTGACCCCTGGAGAAAAATGACTCCCTCTCTCAGCAGCCACTGACTGCCTGTAGCTCTTGATCTAAGGGCAAGACCTTGCAAAAGTTCCCCCATCTAGGTTGGCATGTCTGCTAGTGTGGTCATTATGCAGGTCTTAAGAAAGATAAATTTTCATTTAGAAGGAAGGGTGCACTTTACACTGTTCTGACAGAAGACAGGTAAGATCAGATTTATCTGGTTTCAGAAGAATCCACAACATGAAACTGACATAGTAGGGAGAGGTAGCAGAAAGATTTCTGGGGCAGAGATGGGGGGAGTGGGAGGAGAATGTGTGTCTCAAGTTAGTAAGTCACATCCCCAGTGTGGGGGTAGCAAATACAGGAAGTGGAAGCTGACCTGTGTAATTCTCATCACACAGTGACCTGTAAGATACTTAAGGAAAAGCAGGAGCAGACAGCATGGCACTAAGTCATAAATGAAGGCCTTAAGAGACAGATGTCAGAAGCTGGTCATAACCAGGACAAGGAAGAATGCAGCTGGAACTTGCAGCTCCCTCTGCCTAGCTTCACTGACAGCAGGACACAATGATCAAAGACGGCATCCTTAAGTGGGGAACCAAGGGCATATAAAAGGTGCCGTACCTCTTCAGAGACTCAAACACGCAAATGACATGGATCATCACATTGAGTTTAAAGAAAGAAGATATATTTGCACAAAAAAGGACAGGCTGACTTGAGGATACGTGGTAGAGTAAAAAAATCAAAGAGCTTATTGCACATCATTATAGATATTATGGTTTCAAATTAATTTACGCACATGTATGAAGAGTAAACAAAGAAAGAACAAATAGACAATAGCTATGAAAGAGGGTCCTATGGAATCTCAAGGTAGAAGACAGGTAGTTTAAACAGTATCTCCATCAATTTACACATCTGTTGACCTTGCTCTAGAAACCTATTCATAGCCTTCTTTTCAATAAAGAAGTTAAGATCAAGTGAATATTTTCCTGGACCACTTGCTATGTGTCAAATCTAAGTTATTATGGTTATCTTATTTCATTCTAAAGCAACTTGATATATTGTCAGTATTAGTAATTTAATTAAAAAGATAATGGTGGGCTCAGCAGTTAAGACCACAGAGGACCCAGGTTAAATTCCCAGCACCCACATGGCAGCTCACAACAGTCTTAACTGCAGTTCCAGGGAATCTGACACCCTCTTCTGTCCTTTTTGGGCATTGCATGACAGAGGTGCACTTACATACATGTTGGTAAAACACTCGTATGCATAAAATAAAAATAAACCAAAAAATATTTTAACTGTTTTTATAAAGGTAATAGCATTTAGCATGCTTACATAACTTATTAACAATGTACTAATGAGGCTCAGTTTGAGCTTCAGTGTACACAAATGAAATGGAAAATGGTTGACTCAATCCTTCTTCCCAGGATACAAAGAGAGAGGCTTTTGGGCTACTGAGCAAGCACACAACAACAGACCAACCTTACCGCAGCGATCTCGGACCACCAGGTTGCGGCCTTCCTTCAGGTGTATGGTGAGGAGGTATGCAAAGGGACTGCGGAGGTGACTCAGGTCATCACTGGCTTCCCTGAGACTCTGCACAGATGGAGAAGACATCTTAGTCAGTGAAGCTTGGGGCCAAGACCTTGCTTACTTTAACAGGTAAGACAAAAGGCACAATTTCCCAGTATAAACTCTAACTTTCAATCACTTTGACAACACAGTTAAAACTGCTTTATTAGCCAAGTCCTTTATATTTTTCCCCAATGGGATATCTGAATTTAGAGGTAATTATGAATACGCCTTCTTTTTTTTTTTTTAGTCTTTTTGAGACAGGGTCTCTCTGTAGCCCCAGCTGGTCTCGAACTCACTGTGTAGATCAGGCTGACATTGAACTCATAGAGCTCTGCCTGTCTCTCTGCCTCACAAGTGCTAGGACTAAAGGTGTGTACCACCACACCTGGCCTATGAGTATATTTTTACAAGACAAACTTTCAAATAAGTACATGGTATGCCTATTTCTGAAAACCATAAGGTCACTGATTTGCTGTGGGATTTCTTATGATTATTCTGTACACATTTGTAACCTCAGCTCTAGGGCAAGGGGCAGACAGGATCATTAGGGCTTACAGCTTTCTAGCCTAGCTGAGAAAATGTGAGCCCCAGATTCAGCAGAGACTCTACCTCAAAGGAGTAGGTGAGTGACAGAGGAGGACAGCCTCTTTGGGTCTCCATGCACATGTACTCACATACACATGGGCACTTACACACAAATTAATCAATCAATCAATCAATCAATTACCTCTTTGGGTCTCCATGCACATGTACTCACATACACATGGGCACTTACACTCACACACAAATTAATCAATCAATCAATCAATCAATTAAAAAAATGAGAGCCCACCAAGAGAAAAAATAACATGCAGAAAAGCAGGGCAGGACTGACACCCACCAAGGTGTGTCCAAATAGCTACCTCAGATGTGAAATATCTCCCCGTTCCTCCCCACCTTCCCACCAGTCCCCACGACTCCAGCAGACCTCCTGCACATGGGATAAGATTCCAGGTTTCAATGAGCTGAGCCCTCCTGCTCACCAGGCACAGGCCTCTTAGCTTGTCCCCACATCTGGACAGTCTCAGGCCTATGCTCTCTAGCTTTGCCACATTTTCTTTCATTGTCCATTGCCCACCCCTGGTGTTTTCTCACAACCTCCTGCTTTCTCTTCTCCTGAGCTTTGTCACTTCTCTCCCCAGGAATACACCTACAACCATTGGCCATAATGTCAAATTCAAGTCTATTATGAATATCTATATACTTTACTAATTCCATGCAATGTTTGAGTCAGTTCAAATTTTGCAAAATTTTCTTCAAAGAGGACAGATGGAATAAATTTATTATTTACTTATCGGTATTCAATTTATTGATCCTGTGGCTACAGGCACTCTTGACAACCTTTTTTTTTTTTTGAAAGTTTCAGAGGGTTTGAAAATGGCTTTGTCCTCTTTACTATCAGATTCAGTTGCACAGTTGCTGTGTATTTTTAGACAATCTATTCCAGTCTGACCAATCAATAGACCCAAATTAATCTCTTCCAGCTAGAACTTGCAAGACATGTTTCTGCAGGTGTACACAGTTCCATATATTGAAGAGATAAAGATACAAATAAATGCAAACAGTTCATGAGACTTATTTACAATGTTGACACTGGTTTCGGTTTTAAAGAATGCCACTCACACACTGCTCCTCACAGTCTTGAGATGTCATAGAAGCATTCAGGTCACCATTGCCACGTGTCTTCTGCAAAGAGAAAGAAAAGGATGCCTCAGAAAAGCAAATGAATATTGACCTGTGATGGATCCTGCCTCAGCCCTTTCCCTTTGGAAATCTGACATTTGCATGCCCAGTTTCAGGTGTGTGGGACGCCTTCCTGTCTGTGTGGCAAGAAGTGATCTCAGAGGTGTCTCTCTGGCTCTGACCTCTGACACCTAAGTAATCAAACAAATTACTTTGATCCTTTTGAAGGAAGATCAGGAGGGCATCTAGTCAGGTCCCTCTCAGGGTGGGGTTTTCTGTCCCCACCATCACCAAAGAGAACTACGCAGCTCACACTGAGGGAACTCAGCATCTCCATAAGCAAGGAGTCATTTCAATATGTGGTCTATAAGATTTTCCTCCAATCAGACTTTATAGGCCCAGCAAACTATACAATCACCAACCAAAGATTACTTACTGCAAATTCCAAACGGAAGCCCTCACAGGAGAAAATGTCTTTCCTTGGGTAAATACTTTCTCATCTATAATTAGGAAGTGAGGAGTGACAGAATTTACATCATTCAATAGTGAGAGATTCAACTGGCTACTCAATTGTGTCAGGTTGTATGTGTACAAATGAGGAAACCTCTACAAGAGGTATAGGAGTTTGCAGAGTTAGGGAGCTTTGTGAGGACTGATGTCTTCAGGGAAACATGCAAAGAGGCTAGTGGAGCAGGCTCACTCCTTCTGGAAATCTGGAAATCTGCTGTTTGCCTGGCACATTGGCCCAGGCTAATTTGTTTATGAACAAAGAAAGCATTTCTTACTCTAGAGAAGGCTGGGTGACTAAAGTTAAAAGCTAGTTTGGAGACAGGAAAGAGTTCTGCAATAATTGTTGAGATTATGGACCACTTGTATGCAGGTCAGGCCTGTAATCACTAATGAATGAGTACTCCCACCCACAGTGACTACCAGGGATGCCTTAGGCATCCTGCCTCTCTAAAGCACACACTCTCAAATAGCTTGAGACAGCTCTAGAAAAGTAGGGCAGAGTTTCAGACCACTCCCCGCCCCCCCCCCCAAGGTAGAGAAGTTGCAAACAAGCAAAGGCTCCCTGGCCCACTGCCTCCTCATGCAGTAACATGCAGAAGGCCTTCACATAAAGAAATAAGGCTGCACACCAATAGGCTCTTAGCCAGGAAGAACAGCAGGTCTGAAGCTCTCAGAATCTGTTGCTGTAAATATTTCTCATTCTCCACAAACCCTAGGTCTAATGTATCCTGATCATGAACAACTTGTGCTCAATTCTATGAATTCACATAGGAAGGACAGAGGGGATAATTTCAGAACCGCAATCTTTTTCTAGGACTGAGATAACTTAGGTACTATACCCTTTGCCCCTGGAACTGCTATCATGGCCATGGCATAAAAAACAAAAGTGCACAAATTCTCCATGTGGGACCCAACCTGATGACAAGTAACAAGGCAAAATGTTCCATGCTAAGAAAGCTCTCCTTCAAGTTTTGGTCTCTCCTTCATGGACTATGTCTAAACCAATACCCAGGCAAGGTAGATCTGATGACAACTAGAACCTTATACAACCTCCCCAGCATCAAAAGTTCCTTACATATCTTTTATGCTGTACATACACTATCACATCCAATAAACTAAATTTCTGTCCAAATAACTATGCCAATAGCCATACCTTGACATTAAAAACTAATAGCAACCAGCTCTCTTTGGTGCTCTGCAGTCTAAAAAGCCCGTATAATCATTTCATTTTAGTAAATGAACTCATGTTCCACTTGACCAATGGCTGTTTGAAGACAGTCCTACAAAGCCACCAGGGCTGGGAGCAGAATTTCAGTTTAAAATGTCTTCATTAGCTCAGGATCATGGTGGTCAGCTATTTTCCACTCTTAAGTGGATTCCTGGTTAAACCTCAGGATGCCTCAGACTGATACACAATTTATAGTCTCCACAGTGGGCCTCAATCTAGTCAGCGTTAATACTGATTAAATTCTGAAATTAGTCAACATATGCACCAGTATTTATACACTATCAAAAATGAACACTGAGCATTTATTTAAATATGTGGTTAGTCTTCCACTTATAGCAACAGAGAAACTCAATGTGAGCAATGACATTAATTCAGTGTTATGGCTGGTTTTACTCACAGAAGTCACAGAACTTAAAAGTTATGATTCCCACAGCCACTGTAACTGTCACGCACCATATATACATGCCAGGGTAGGAAAGTGATTACCAGAGAACAGAAAAGCATTCTGTATGCACACGAGGACAAGGCACAGCTGCTGGGAGACATATAACTGAATATTCCCACTCACTCTTGCACAGGGTCTAAAGAATTAACCCATTGAATAAATAGAACCTGCAATGTTCTCCTCTCTTTTGTAAACCTAATAACTGACTCTATGACTTTTTTTATTGAAAATAGAAAATTTTATGTCATAAGGAATGCCTGGTATACCCAAACCATTAGATGCTTGCATTTGTGATCTCAATAAGCATAATTCAGCATGCTGTGCTTTCTTAAGTTTAAGTCAAATTAACACACAATAAGATTGGTATGGCCTGTGACTGCCATGGCTCTAAACAGGTATAGATCTGAATAATTGCTCCGCAGATAGAATTCAGAACAGTTCTGCCTCCTCCAAAAACTCCTTTATTTCTATCTCACTATGGTAAAATTTTCCTCCTATTTCAACCAAAAGCAACCACTGGTCTATTTTCATGATATAATTTTATCATTTATAGAATATCTTGTCAATGAAATAATATATTATGTAAACTTTGGGACTGATATTTCACTTTGCATAATGCACTTGAAATTATCCAAGGTGTTATCCATATCATACCTTGGCAATTAACCAAATGGGATTCTATCTTTCTATCATGTGAGTGTATAGATTGATTACCAATTAAGCATCAGCTTTTGTGATTTTAAATGAATTGTTTTTAAGTACATACTCAGGAAAGAATAAACAACTTTGAACATCATCAAAGCTAATAAATCTCAACCAAAATATATAAGATTGTCTCAAACTAATATTCATATGAGGGCATCATTTCTCATACAAGGCACTACTGCCCTTACTTAAATAGGTGTTTCTTCTTTGGTTTGATTTTTAATGACAGTAAGTTTAACTAGATATTTCCATTCTATTTTACTGCATTGACATTTATGGTAAGGTAATCCAGAATCTGCATTACCTTCAGATGAAGATCCCCAACTTATAAGAATGAAATGTATTAACATTCAGAGTGGTATATTTGGTATGAGAATGGATACATCAGTTATTTTAAAAACAATATCATGGAGCCAAGGAGATGGCTTAGTCAGTAAAGTGCTTGCTGAGCAAGCATCAACCTGAGTTTGATGACCAGATCCCATGTAAAAAGCCAGTGAGGGGGACATAGAGACAGGTGGATACTGGGACGACTTCCTAGCTATAAGTAAGCCTGCTTAGTGAGTTTCAAACTGGTGAGAGACCCTGCCTCAAAAAGTAAGGTGAACACCTCCTGAAGAACAATACTTGAGGTTGACCTCTGGCTTCTACATGCAAGTGAAAGTATACACACATACAGAGAGAGAGAGAGAGAGAGAGAGAAAGAGAGAGAGAGAGAGAGGGAAAGAGGGAGAAAGAGAGAGAGAGAGAATCTTGACTCTAAGGATCTTGACAGCAAAACATTAATGTGAAAAAAAATGAATGTTTCTTTTCTTATATACTTAATGTTATCTTGTACAAATGCCCCCTTCCCTTGACTGTCTGAAGAACCTTATAGCGTGGTATACACAAGAACCCAAAGCAAAGTGTGTAAGCAATTGTCAACTGCTTGAAGTTTAGTGGAAGAAGACATTCCCACATCCAGAAAAGCTTAAAGGAAAACACTGGGTAAGATCAACTCCTTCATTTTTAATATGAACCTATTACAGCATGTGAATGGATATGAAAGTGCAAGGTTCTCTCATCCACTCTAAGCTTTTAAAACTATGAATATTTAAGAAATATTTAGGACTAGAGCATCAAACGCAAGCATCTTCTGGACAAAGGGAATAACATAAACCAGAGGGATATGATGGCTAGGTGGATATAAAGCCATCAGAAACAGGGACAGAATAAAATAAGAAGCTGCCTGGCTAGTGGGGGTCAAAATTTGACCATCTAAAAAGTAATCAGGTCTACAAAATAGTTGAGTCTTTTCATATTCAGTTTTAACACAAACTTTCAGAAGATTATTGAGCATGCTATTGAGATATATTTTCAGTTTTTTCTCATCCCCACAATTGTTCTATAAAAACGATGACTTCAGCATACTATCTCACCTAACACACAAAATATGAATTGTGTATGTGTGTACATTCATGCAACGATATAAAAATTGTACTCAGCAAATTACAGCCCAAGGTCAGATTCAGCCTTCAATTTGTTCTGTTTGTATTTTAACAAAATTCTGCTGAATTCCACCTCTACCTACTCATTTCTGAATTCTCCGTGCTGCAACATCAGAACCAAATAGTTGTGGCAGGTACTTTACAACCTGCAATCACACATATTTAATTATCTGGACATTTATAGAAAAGACTCGGCCAATTCTTCATATAATATTCTCAAACCCTTCTTTACCAACCAGTCATATTTGCTAATGACTTTCCATAAATTCTTGCACACTTATTAGCAAGAGCTACATTAGCAGAGCAATCCTTTCTAATTCACAAATTATCACTTCCTAGTTCATAAATACACACTATCATCTTCTCATAAGGATCCACAGGTTGTCATAAGTATCACCGATAAAGAATTCACAGCAAGGAGGCTAAATGGCCACCAAGGAGAAGCAAGAGAGTTAGGCTTTCAGAAAGATTTTATGTAGTTCATCAGACCACAACTATATCAAGAACATCTATGATAGCCACCTCGACATATATGCTGGGTAACAGAACCACCCAGTAATCAACAAGGGTCTAGAGTCAGGAAGTCTATATTTGAATCCTACTGCTATTCCCGCTAAATCCTACTACA